GATAATCCCAAAGTCATGTTATACACCAACTATTAAATAAAGTTTATTACAGTTTATATTGCAGTTTTTGGTTATGCTAATAATAAATTTATGTTGCTACAAAACTTTAAGCAACGCAGATATTGTTAATAATGTAAAACAATCTAAAAAATATAGTTTGCCAATAAATTGTTTTTAGTTATATTTTAATAAAGATAAAAACTTTTTAAATAATGTATAGTATTTAATAAAATATAAAATACCTGAAAAAATATTGTAGATATAAAATATGGTAGAACTCCATAAAAATGTTTGTGATGTTCCCGAAGAAATAAACAGATTCCCGAACCAAAAGTCTATAGAAATAATAAAAGCAATTCATAATAATTGTATTAATGACGATCAAGTAGCATTTCGAGATTTGAATTTTGTGTTTGTATGTTATTTGCCTGAACACAGCTAAATGAATACACGGCTGTTATATCAAGTAAGATCATAAATAAGGCACCATTGATGTTGGTTATATCGGATGAGACCGGATATTGTTTATAATAAAACAAGCCAATAATAAAAATAAATACCTATAAATATAAAATTTAGTTTAATTTAATCTCACAATTAACTCTAGATTACTTAAAATTGCAATTTAAAGATTTAGTGGGGAACAAATATTTGTGATGTAATATATTAACTATTAATTCAAAATTAACAGGCTAAAATATAAATATCCACAGAATATGTGGACAGTAATTTAAATAACAAACTTTGTATAAATTACATAATGTTTAACAATACAAAGCTGTATAAAAAATTGTGGTAAATGTAAACAAATAAAACATACTATCATTAAAATCATCGCGGTTAATATTATTTTATTATTTCTCACAGTTAATAGGTATGAGCGCCACAATAGGGCCCGCATTTGGGCCCAAAAGCCGTACTTATATGCAGTCAAATATTTTGTACGGCTGTTGTCGTCAATTTGTGCGCCAAATGTGTGTCTCGTTTGGCATTCAATCGCATTATTATTGACAGATATTTGTTGACAAAAACGTGAATTTAGATAATTGTCGCATATTTTCTACAAAATAAAAAAATTTAGTAAATATATTGATTAAGAACTAGCAATGACTTAAACTTCATGTGTTTTATGAAATGCAACAAGGGCATTTTAACAAAAATAACTTACATTCACTTTCTCTCTTTTTATCTCAAACTTATCAGAAGTGATTGCTTTTATAGTAATTTAAAAATGTTTATTAATTATCACAACTAATTAATTGTTAATATATTTAATACAAACCCAATTCTGTAATATAATAATCAATTGGATTATAATTTTGAGGGCATAACTATCAGAATCAAAATCATAATTAATAAAAAAAAGTTTTACTTAATTAATTAAATATAACAAATATATTTGATTTAAAATGCTTACAAAACTGAGTGATGAGAAAAAATATTTTGCTTCATCTGAAAATATTCAATAGTGTTGTTATGTTTAAATTAAACTTAATATTAAAAATATGTGCATGGTAAAGTACAGACCAGTTGTGCCCATAAAAGCTACCCTTCCGTCGGCCATAAGTAAGATGTGATCGAAGAGAGCGAACACTTGAGACGAGGGCTGATGTATAGTACAGACTATAGTCCGTCCCTCCGATGCCATTGTCTTCAATGTTTGCACAATATTTTGGGCCATAAATGAGTCCAAACCAGTCGTCGGCTCATCACTCATATTACGAGACAATAGTAATAATAATTTTAAAATTGTATTAAAATTGTATTAAGGTTTTAATATTTAGGTTATTATAATTATAAAAATTAAACGTTAAATGTTATAAATATTTAATTGTTTTAATGCAAATTTGAATAATAATTTAGGCAAAAGGGAGCCATAATTATACTGTAAAAATAAAAACATCTCCAATTGTTGCTTTTAAATGATGATAACTAAAAATTCTTGCATGTATTAAACTATATTAACATAATACTTTAAGTAAACTAAAATTAGTTAAATTAAACTTTATATTTCTTACCAAAACATTAACGAAACATTTGATAGAATCTAAAAAAATTAAAATATGTAAAAATAAAGAAACATTGTTACAATGAATTAATCTAAAGAACATCGAAACAGTTTTAAAATAAAGTAACTTCTAAAATACCATGATTATTAACCACCATTAATAAATACTTTGTACAAACCTCTGATGCAAACGACAATCTCTTCATTTCTCCCCCAGAAATGCCTTTAAACTCAAAATCGCCGCCAATTTGAGTGTCCATACATTTGCTTAAATTAAACTAAAAATGTATAAATTATTCAATATTAACAAAAATATAGAGAATATTTTTTTAAAGCATTTTTCTCACTTTTATAAGCAATTGATCAATAAAAACATTTTTCTGTTCACGGGTTAAACTTCTATCCATTCGTAACAATGACTAAAAATTAATTGCAAGATAAAAGTTATAATTTTTAATTAAAATTTAAAACACACGACAAATACTTGAAAGACGAGATGTTCTCTGACTGTAAGCAACGGATGAAACAAATCGTGTTGTTCTATGTATGAGGAAAGCGATGCCATTGTCTCCGCACTGACCGCCTGTCCATTCAATAGCACCACTCCTTTCACCCGTAGTTTCGATAGGTTTCTGGCCGTCAATACATTCAATAGCGTTGTCTTTCCGGCGCCACTGTATTAACACGTAAACCAATATTTAATGTCTTGATTATATGATTAAGGTTATTCAAAATGACACAAACCTGGCGCCCATTATTGCCAACAATTGACCACTTTTTACTTCACCAGAAACTGTGATTATTTAATTATTATTAGTAATAAATTATGTATAATTGTAATTTATTTATTTATTTTTAATTTAAAATTATTACCATTTTTGATGATTTCTGTCGGCGTTTCTTCACTTCGATAGCAATTATAAATACTTTTCTCGCATTTCGTAAACACCTGTATATTAAGCCACGAAAGGGACACACTTTGGATGCCTTCACTTCTATCCACTCGACTATTATTTATTTCTAATATTACTTTCATTTTAATATTTGTATTAATGATACCTTTTAAAATTATTTTTAAAAATATATAATTAGTTTAATGCACTATTAAAACATAGAAAAAATTGCAAACTAGTTAAATTATGTGCAAAATCAGAGACAAATTAACAACGTGTAAAGAATCAATGAACTTGATCTACGAAACACTTTATATAAATATTCATGTATTTAAGTAGTATATTTTAATAATATATTATAGTATATTTAATAATATCGTTTAATACAATATTAAAACGTTAACTAATAAAATAATTTTAAAAACTGCAAAATCAGATACAAATCAAAAACATTAATTTTTGCAATTAATTGTTTGTAGAAGTTTGAGGATATACACGCACGTGCAAATGTTTCTACTTCTTACAAAATAAGTAATGAATTTATATTAATTAAAAAATAATTATAGTTCTTAATTACTGTTAATATTTATATGTCGTTAGACTCTAGAGAATACTACATAATCGTAGACCTCGGGTGTGGGACCGGGTATTTGGCGGTACTGTAACCGAAAAATTAATTTATTTTAATTCTAGTGATATTATCAACAACAATACCAGTACAAAATTCAACCAGTGTACGGTAGTATAAATTAAATGTGATTATTTAACATTGAACATGCACAACTTATATTGATATTGTTTAAATTATTTTATTAAATTTTTAATGATTTTTACATAAGATATACATTGACAACAATATATTAGTAATATAATATTTAGGTCTACCTATTTAATACAACATTAGCAAAGTTGTGTAAATAATGTACATTTTAAAAAATGTAATAGTAATTATCGCACCTATTTTGTATGTATAACATTAACTTAGGATTTTTTGCAACTCAAGTTTTAGCGCTAATAAAATTATGTATTATAAATTGTCCCAGAGTTTGACAAGAGTTACAATAAATGTTGTAAAATTATTTTAACACATATTTAAGCAAATTATAAATTTAAATATTTTTAAAATTAGTAATAATTAATTACTTTCAAAATAATTTTGAAACACAAACCTTAAGCAGTTTTAAAACAATGATTTATAGATAACTAAAAAGGAATTAATCTATATATCAAATAGAATTTGAACATTTTAAGCGTATAGAATTGTTCATTATGCAATTCTAAATCAATCTAAATGATAAAATTCTGCCAATGGGCATTTAATATAATTCAAATTAATTAAATAAGATTACAGAATTGCATTAAAAGTTTTAAGTTTAGCGCTTATATAGAGCACACTGTCCATTCATATAGTGAGTATTGACTTTACTCATTTAATTTAATGAATGATAATAAAAATTTATTGAACATTATAAGTATATTATGATTGTATTTTTAAATGAGTAAGGTCAATACTCACTATATGAATGGACAGTGTGCTCTATATAAGCGCTAAACTTAAAACTTTTAATGCAATTCTGTAATCTTATTTAATTAATATAAATTATATTAAATGCCCATTGGCAGAATTTTATCATCTAGATTGATTTAGAATTGCATAATGAACAATTCTATACGTTTAAAATGTT